TTTTATATATAAAAAATCATATTTTTTAGTGAAGTATTTTTAATAAAATAAGATAAAGATTTGTCCATGAATATATTGAGTATTTGTTTTTAATAGTCTGTGTGCAAAGCAATTTTCATGTTAAAATTAAAAATTCTTTTCCTCATCTAAAAAATCTCAAATTTATTTTCTGTAATCCCTAAAATCTCTTAAATGTATTTCAAACGTTTTTTCAGTAAAACTTTATAGTTTATCTGTTATTTAATCTACCCTATCTCAAAAAAAGGATCAGTCAATTCGACTTCATAATCAACAAAAAAAAAATCAAAATAAACATAGATTACCCATTTTTTTCTTTCTAGAATGACTTCAAATTGTAACATGAATCTATTTTCATTTATCCTAAGTAGCTCTAAGTTCGTAACATTATACATCTATTTATAACTAAATTTTATTGTTTTATTGCTCTTTGAACCATGTCTAACTACTATCCACACCATAAAAAGTTGTAAATCACTCGGAATGTGCAGGTCACATTACGCTATCAAATTACATTATCCACGAGCTACAACAAACTGCTCCCATAGTCATTTAGTCTTAAATAACATAAAAAGATCTGTATTTTTAGATTTTAGTTACTTTTATAATAACAAATAATGAATAAATATGAAAAACAAGAAATAAAGTTCTTAACCAATCTTAATTTTTCTTGTTCCTGATTGTCAATGACATTTTAAACCTAATTTTTTATAGTACTTATAGTACTGTACTTAATTTTTATTTAATTAAATAATGCACCAAAGTATATAGACTAATAACATGTAAAAAGTAGACAAATTCCCTTACCTTTCAAAATTTTTTCTTGCTTTCTAACTATGCGACAAGAGCCGTTACAAATTCATCCAGGCTAGGCATTAACTTTCCCATGGGAAAATATATGCACTCTGAATGAAATTGACAATTATCTGTTCAGAAAACAACGTTATACAATACATCATTTGGTAGATAAAAACCTCGACTTTCTGTTGGTTATAGGTAATATATAATGAAATGTAAGAGAGAACTATCAACGAATTATGAAAGAGAGAATGTGACAGGTGGGTGTGGCAGGAGAGGTCTGATTTTATTTGATAGCTCTGTAACCAAACAAAATTGAAGACTATAAAAATTAAGGTTTGTCTGAGCAATAACAATTATATAGAAAGTAATTTATGTTTAATTTTGTACTTTTTCAAGGGGTAGTGGATAAAAGAGGGATGATGACATGCTAAAAGAAAATGTGTCACGTGAGTCACACTAGTGGAAATTCAGGATTTTTTTTTATATTGCTTTGTAGAATTAAGAACTTAAAAATTGTGTACTATTAAAATATGGATTATTAGCTAAGATTTCATGCTATTCTAATTGGTATAACATAAACAAAACGTAGTTTAATAAAATTTTGAATGTAAGACACTAAAACCTTGTGTCATGTCCATAAGTTGTTTCAAAACAAAACTTTTTTTAGCTTAATGAACTTTACACGGGGGGAAAGAAATGAGAGTTAGCATTTGGTTTTAACAGAAAAAAATATTTATGTTAAACACTTACATGGTATATCATCATTTGGTAGAAGGTAGGTAAATGTTGTAGATATCACAATCTGCATGAAAGTGGGTCTTCTAGAGGTTTTATGGCAATTGTTAAGACAAAAATTCACACTTACAGAGCATATCATCATCTGGAAGGAGGTAGGTCAAGTGTTATGACATATATTCACTCTCAATGGACATATCCTCAACTGAGAAAATGCAAGTCAAGTGTTAAGACAAGATTGATACTCAAAGGACATATCATCATCTTGAAGAAAGTGGTTCAAGTGATAGGACAAAGATTTATACTTATACGACCAGGACACACTGTCACCCAGAAAAAGGCAAGTCAGGTGTTAAAACAAGATTCACACTCACAGGTTATATCATCATCATGAAAAAGGTAGGTCAATTGACAGGACAAAGGTTCACCCTTACAGGGCTAAGGGATACTGTCATTCAAGAAAAGGTATTACACTTGGGGGGGGGGGGATATCATCATCATGAAGAAGGTGGGTCAAGTGGTAGGACTACGATTCATACTTACAGGCTGGACATATTGTCATACCTGAAAAGGTATGTCAAGTGTTAAAACAAAATTCACATTTACAGGGAATATCATAATCCGGAAGGTAAGTCAAGTGTTAAGACAAAGATTTACATTCAAAGGGATATCATAATCCATGAAAAAGTTGGTCAAATGTTAAGAAAAAGATTCACACTCACAGTGCATGTCATCTTCAGGTTGTTCAGCTTATTTTCAATTGATCCAATGGATTCTACAAATGTAGCCTGAAACATGATGCAAGCCACCCTATCAGCAAATACAGGAATTTGGGCTAACTCGTAAAGGAATCTGAAAATAAGGAAATATGACATTTTTTACTGCACTTGTAAGGTATGAATCTACTTATATACATATGTTTACCTGCAAGTTGAATTCAAACTTGGCTCCTTTTTCCAATGTGATTTTTCTACTTCAAAAATTCTATTTCACACTAGTTTGGTATTCAAGATGTAACTATATGTTCAGCATTAATTTAAATTTTCATCAAAGATAAAATCTGTAAACACTTGAACACTTCAACCCTCTTTACATAGCTTGTAAAAACAGATTAATGCTGAAATCTTTTAAACACTTCAGAAAAACTATATACACCTGAACCTTCTCAATGTGGCTTTTAAAAATGGATTAATATTAGAATATTTTAACAAATTAAATAAAAATTGATTTATTCTCAACAAAACACTAACAAATTTTAAGTTATTTAACCATGATTTTACCTTTCACAGTATCTAAAACACAAACAAGTTTTTAGAAAGAAAAAAAAATTGTTCATGTGTTGATTTTAATATAGCTTTTACAAAAACAATACTCTGATATTAAAATTGTCAAAGGTTAAAAAAGAAAAAAGTTAATGAAATTTATATCATTAAAAAATTCATACCAAATAATAAATAACACTACTTACCCATGTTATCAAAGTCAAAAAGCAAGAAAAAATCAAAGAAAAACGTTCGTACATGATCCAATGCATTACTTGTAGCATGTAGATGTTAATACATTATATAACAAGATTTACACTATAGTTTCAAAATTAAGAGTATATCAAGATTTAAAGTATAGGACAAGTTGTGATTGGTTGAAAGTAGGTAGGTGATTATTGTTGATATTTGACACTAAACATTTAAAAATCAACCAATACCACAATGAGATCCTACATGTCATTATTAAGAGTATAATACTCATACATTATCTATACATTGAATTAATGCTCTTCTAGACATATTATTATTGTATATTTAAGCACAAACCTGTACATGGAATATCTGTGCTGTGGTCAATGAAAAGATCAAACCTTGAATTTGAGTGTTATAAGCTATCAAGCTTATAATAGTTAATGACAAAAATGTCTGGCTTTGTTTAAACACACAAGTTATTTCCTCTTTTCAGGTTTATCAAAAGGAATGACTGGTTTGGTTGTGAGTAAGCCACCAGAGAGTTTGAATTATCTAAACACACAAAGGCTATCAAGAGAAATGTCTGCCTTTGTTGAAAATGATTCACCAGGGGGCTTTGCTTATCTAAACACTCAAGGTACTTACTGTTCGGGTTTATCAAGAGGAATGTCTGGCTTGGTTGTGACATGATTTTTGATTTGTTCTATTTCATCTGCAGATGGTCTCTGTAAAGAGAAACCAGTTACTCAGTTCAGAAAGAAAAAATACTTTCATAATAAAATGTAGTTCAAGAAAATTCAAAGTTTCTTCTTTAGACTTATTCCATGTCATTTCTACTCAGGACTGCAGAGGGTATGGAAAGAATACTAAATATACTTCTTGTTGCATAATAAAATTGAGCACTGTCTTCAGTAAGACAGGGAACTACAAAAACCAGACAACCTTACTCTATAGCTTAACTGTAACTGCCAAATTCACTTTTACTGTGTTTTGGCCTCAGACTCTTTTTGAACGAGAGTCTGCTTATCAACAGACTAAGGCAACAATTCAATGAAATGAGCAAAGTAATGTGGAGTTGCTTTAAAAAATGCCAAGATTAAATAAATTAAATAGAAACTAAGAAATTTTTATATAATAGAAGAACATTAGCAATATCTTATTATTGTAAGTCATTTGAAAATGACATGTATCGCTAAAATACAAGATTAACTTCCAAACTTGTTGCATTAGGTAGATGCTTTAATCTATCAATGAAAAGTTTCTTTGTTATACACAAACTTTTTCAATCCTCTTTTTTGCAAGCATCTTAAATGATTTATGATGAATTGCTACATTCCTTCACTAAGAGCATGATAATGTATACTTTATTTGTTATCAGTCATTAAATTTGCCACTGCTTTTATACTTGTTTGGAACCATCTAGTTGTTGATTCAATATACCTAGAATAATATATAGGATGTTTAAATTCATACACTATACAAGATATTTTCCAAGATAAAACCTGAAAAAAAATGTTGTAATCTACATTCAGGTTTAAAAATAATTCGGGGTTCCCACTTGTTTCGCAAAATCACTTTCAAGCACTTTTTCAGGACCTCTTCAGGCAATTTCAAGGAATAATGAACAGCTTAGTAATAAACAAATACATATAAAATGTATGTTTAAAACTTAATCGTATGATGTATCTTAGTTTATTGCAAGTAACAACTTTAACAAACATATAATTTGGTATTAAACTAACAAATATCCAAGCTTGAACAGAACAATGAAGTCAATTTTCATAAGCAATGAAATGTCTATTATAGTATACCTTTAATTTTAAAAGAAATGTCTTTCACTTAACTTTAAATTTGTCAATTACAAACCGTTGCTTTAATTTTTGTTCTTATATATATATATATATATATATATATATATACATACATATGGTAGTCTGTCATATTGGCTTAAATGAAATAATGATCAAAAGGCTAAACTGTAAAAACCATGTTTGCAGCTCCCTGTAAATTTCATGTATTTCAAATACAAACAGAAAAAGCCAGATGATTTGGTCACACTCAGTGTCCGTTACCAGCTTCCACCAGTATTTTTATAACTTTCTTCAAATGGATAACAGCATCATTTGGCTTACTTGACATGAATCGATAATGAAGGCATTCAAGATTCCTTGTAATTCTGTACCTCAGTGGAGACGCTTCTCTCGTAGTTTGGATATTGCCTTCACTAACTTATCCCTGGCCTCCAATTAAAACTGTATAATACCTTTGTCATTAATCTTCTTCTTCATTCTACGGTCTCTTAGTAAATTCTCAGAAGTAAAAACTGACATCCACTTACTGTACTCTTTCAGTAATGTCTTGTCATCTAAATCAAAGTTCATAAATGACATTGTCATTGTGTGCTTTTTCTTCACAATATGCTCAATGAGGATCTTTAGTACAAGTGTTAGATCTATTCCTAGACATGGCATCATTTGGTTAATCAATTTGATATTTTGTAAGAAATGGTGCCACCTATTTTTCAACTGATAGAAAGAAGGAAGAGCTTACATTTCATCAATGGATCCTGAATTGCAAGTCTCACAGTTTCAAGACTTTGTGCTTGGATTCAAATGTTTTTGGTGATAACAGCATCTACATACATTTGCTTATTTTTCCATATTTGTAAGGGAGATCATTTTACAACCATCTACACTTGTAGCATTTTAGTGGAAAAATTGTTGACTTGGTAAGTGTTGTGAAGTCCTCCTATCTAGCTGGAGTATGTTTAAACAGAACAAAACGTCTAAGACATCCCACATCATAGTCACTGTACTAGTCACCAGTGCCCAATACACAATATGTAGACCACAGGACTCTATCTCAATGAACTTGCACTTGAAACCTTTTTCCATTTGTTCCTTGAACATCCTGTACAGCTTCCAATTTGCTGCTGGTCCATCCATCAAGAGCTGTATAATTTTCTCATAACATAGCACCAATATGCTAGCGTGTTACGACAGACACCTGATCCCAAAATCATAAGTAAATATCTAATTATTTGTCTTGAGATTTCTTGCTCAAGCTTTCATTAGAAAGCAAGATAAACTCTTCATCTACAAGAGTAAAGATTTATATATATATATATGTTACGGTGACCCAGATGCATAAAATTTACAGAACATTTTAAATTTTTAAATCAGGTACATTTATCTCTCATACTAAATGCAATCAAAGAATGTAGGTCCCAGAAAAGAATAGGTTAGATCTAGACCTACTCATAAATGGTCTAATACACTTGGAAGATAGTAAAATATTAGATCTATCCACAGTTAAACAATTTTATGAAAATAAGCAGAAATAAAAATCTCCATAATTATGTTCACCTTTGTTTTCTTTTTCAAACTTTCAAGGAAGCTTGATGCCAACCAAATGTTGTAAAGAATCTTAGCTTTGTTTCTCCACATTTAAAAGTTATGGCTACCTTGTTGCTTGGAAACATCAAGGAAAGCATGGCAGAAATCTCCTCTTGCGATTTGTAGGAATGATGATTGTATGTACTATACAATGTCCATCTAATTTCTGCTTTACAATTTTATCTTTAAGTTTTTTTTAACAATGAGATTATCCATAGATCTAGGCTTATTGCAGGTACCCGGACTATCTTTAGGCCTACAACTTGTCACTGTCACTGATCAGGATTAAATTCGGGCCTATAAAAGAATTCTTTCAATATAACAGTTATTCCATTGTTTAATTTCCTTAATAATTGCAAACTTTTGATGTGTTTTAGCCCTTTGATGTGATTTTTCAGTGCACTTTCACCCATCCCATTTATGTCCAATGTTTTTCTGGAAGCTTTGCAAATTGCATTGTGCTGAATGCATTCACAGTGCTGAACCCACTCACTGTATTGTTCATTACAGAACCATGCATTGCTAAAGACACACTTTCCCCATTTTTCCAGTGCATTAAGACTTGGCCTACAATAGGAGAAAGTCTTATTCACGATTATGATTTATACAATATTCACACAATTATCATGTATTCAGTAGTGTTTGTTTCAAAGTGGCAGCTTGTGAAGTTGTGAGGTTTTCAAGGGCGAATATAAACAACCATAGATTTAGGCTACCACTTAAATAAGTTTACCCAGTTAAGCTATTGTGGATATGAAAGAAGTCATGTACAACAAGCACTTTTACATGTCTATAATCATTATCCAACTCTCAGACAAATGCACAAATCTGTAGTGGAATATCAATTAAATTCTCATAGTATTGTTACTTACATACTTTTAACTGCCTTAGTAAAAATCAGTGTCTAAATCAACAATGTTCAAGTTCCATTTAATGCTCTTCAGCAAAATTAATAGTTTCAGTTTAACTATGTGAACAGTCTGTATTATCAATATCTGGCAGCTTTTATCAGCCTAATCTGGTTCATAATACTTCTTAGTGGAGTAAAGTATGACATTGGAGGATGGAATGGACTTGGTGTGTTTAGTTCAAACAGGAAACACCTTTTATCTCATCGCTCAGCTGAAAAAACCTAAAAATGCTTGAAACTGCAGACCTCGGTTTAGGTTGCATCTTCTTTTATCTCACAGTTTAGCAGAAGAGACTTATTAATGCTTGAAATTGTAACATTCAGTTTACTAGATAATGGGTTTAGCTGGCAGAATTGAGAAGATAACTTTTGTTAGAGATTAAGATGTTTTTCAGTACATACTAAATTAGAGAATAATTATAAAATTAAAGCATTTTTTTCAACAACTGGAACTAAAATTTGCATATTTAACATCCCTTCATGCTACAATATTGAAATAATTACCTACATGATCAGAATTTCGTGAGAAATGTTGGTAGGTCTTTTCTATGAAGGAAAAACCAATGTGAAAAACATCAGAGTCTAATGCTTTAATATAATGGCAAAAGATTAAATGACAGACATTATATGACTAGAGATGAAGTTTGGTAACTCACAAGTTTTAGAGAAATATGGACAGATAAGACTGTAACATGTTTACTTGATTGAATCAAAGGAAAGTTAAATGACAAATAATACAAGTTGAACATCTAAAAAAACTTGAGACAATACATCCATGCTTACTCTCAAGGGAATATTTTCTCAAGGTCAGAAGACATGGACATTTATTTCAATTAGTAAAAGATCATCACAAGTCTTTTTGGGTCATTGCTTTTTTTTGTATGAAGGATGACCAATAACATCCAAACAGTCTGACATATAAAGATTACAAATAACAACTACATGGCCATTTATACTTAGTATTTTACAAGATATTTCAAGGTTTATGTTACAACGTTATAGGTTATAAAGGTCATACGTACCACTTCATAAATGGCTTGCAGCGTGTCTGCATCCACAACTGAGGTATCAAAGTTATACACAGCTGTAACACAAGACATTACTTTTTTTATTTATTCAACAGCTGATACTTAAAACCAAAATCATAACATGTTCTTTATATTGTTCTGTCCACAAGGTTATCACACAATCATGTTCTTTATATTGTTCTGTCTATAAGGTTATCACACAATCACGTTCTTTATATTGTTCTGTCCACAAGGTTATCACACAATCATGTTCTTTATATTGTTCTGTCCACAAGGTTACCATATAATCATGTTCTTTATATTGTTCTGTCCACAAGGTTACCATACAATCATGTTCTTTACATTGTTCTGTCCACAAGGTTACCATACAATCACATTCTTTACTTTGTTCTGTCCACAAGGTTACCATACAATCATATTTTTTATATTTTCTGTTCACAAGGATACCACACAATCACAATGTATATATTGTGCTATCTACAAGGGTTCTACTCAATCATGATCTTTTATTCATTTCATTACAAGGTTAGCACAAAATTATTGTCTTTGTATTCATCCAGATAAAGGGTTATCACACCAACCATGATATTTGTATCTATCTAGCAAAAGATTACTATACCACTCCTGTCTAAAGTGTTAATACTCCATTCATTGTCTTTGTATACAATAAGCTAAAGTGTTAATACACAAACCTTTGGTCTTTGTATCCAATCAGCTAAAGAGTTAATACACCAACTATTGTCTTTGTATCCAATCAGTTAAAGTTACTACTTCACGCATTGTTTCTGTATCCAATAAGCTAACAGGTTAGTACACCAGCAACAGTCTTTGTATCCAATCAGCTAAAGAGTTAGCACACCAACCATGGTCTTTCTATCCAATCAGTTATACCTTTAACATCTGGTACACTTTTTAAATACCTTTCTGTGCATGTCAAAGGTTAAAAATTTACTTAAACCTATTTTCTATCAATATATTTTAAGGAAATTAGCATTATCAAATACATTATAATACAAAGTTTTATATCATCCAAGTTATTATTTCTTTATTTCGATTGAAACCTCTAACAATTAAATCTTCAGTTTTGTGTCAAGTGATATGCTGGCAGTTGAAATATCTTAGGTTTGGTTGCTTATGCATCTTTACAGCTTACCCTCAGTACTTCTATGAGTCTAGACGAGCTTCTACACGATTGGGCAAACATTTCAAAGTAATCTGTTGCTAATCAACAGTCTTTCGTAGCCTTGAATGGGATGCATATAATTAATAGAAAGAGCAGTATCTCCTGGCTAGAAGGCAAGGAAGTAATAAATTATTTTTCAAATGACAATTCTGCTTTATATCTGTTGTGGAGACTTGTGTCCCTAGTGCTTAGCTATTTTTTAATGCCTTATACATATTAGTTTGATAGACACTTAAATTGCATTTAGGTTTTACTTTTATATTTTAGTTGATTATGTATTATTTGTGTTTTAAAATACATATTTGAAAGGTTTAATGATTATTTAAACTTTTCTAATTGTACCTTTCCTGGTCATGCATTATAAAAAAAGGCAAGAGCAAACATTATACCATAGGCTAAAGTGGACTCCTACTGATCATAACTTTGTATCTCCTGCGGGGATTGGTTGAAGCGTGTAGATATAAATAATGAAAGATAAAGATTTGGAAAAAAAAATAAAACATTTGTGAAAAGGTAAAGACAACTGACCCAAGGAAGATATTTTAAGATTATTTAACTAAGAGATAAAATGTAAGTATGTACATATTTCCATTTCTTAATTTTAAGCTTTTAATTGCACTGTATGTTAATGATAATAGCTAGTTAGTGATATGTTGGAGAAAATAGAAAATAAAGTATAAACATCTACCTTAACCCTCTCTGCCCAGGCATCATTTCCTGCAGATGTCACGAGGTTCTCGTGGCTTACATTCAAAATTTTATCAAAGTACCTTTTGTTTATGTTATACCAATTAGTATAGCATAAAATCACAGCTAATAATCCATATTTTAATAGTATACAAGTTTTAAGTTCTTAAATTTATAAGGCAATATATTTTAAAAAATCCTGAACTTCCTCTAGTGTAAGAAAATTGACAAATTTGTTGTAAGCATCTCATCTTCTCTATTTTATTCACCACCCCTCCAATAATATGAAATTTAACATAAATTACTCACTACAACATCGTCATTGCTCAGACAAATCATAATTTTTATAGCTTTCAATTTTATTTGGTTACAGAGCCACCAAACTGAAACTTAGACCCCTCTTGCCACACCCACCTGTCACATCCTCTCTTTCAGGATTTGTTAATAGTTCACTCTTACATTTAATTCTAAGTTATCTATAATCAATAGAAAGCCAAGGTTGTCATCTATCAAATGACATATTATGTTGTGCTCTGAAAAGAGAATTGTCAATTTCTCTTTTAGTGCAAGCTTTGTTCATATGGAAAAGATAATGACTAACTTGGATTAATTTGTAACGCCTCTTGTCACATAGTTAGAAACCCAGAAAAATTGTGATAGTTAAAGGAAATTGTCTGCTTTTCATATGTTATTATTCTATGTTCTTTGGTGCATTATTTAATTAAATAAAAATTATTTAGTGCATTACTACCATTAATATAAACAAATAAGGTTAAGTGTCATCGATAGTCGACAGGAAAAACAAGAAATAAAGTACTTACCCACATCTTTTTTTTTTTAATGTTTATTCTTTATTTATTATTATAAAAGTAACTAAAATATAAAATACTGAGCTCTTTAGGTTAGTTAAGGTTAGATTAACCCTTTCGTGATGGGCTCGGTATAATACATACGAGTTTGTATACACATTTGCATACATTAAGTATTTATATTATAACTTCTAATGCAGTAAGTGTATCTTCACAACATTTGGTAGACTTTTAGTAAAGATTGCAAGTCTTCCATACACAAAAAATCCGATTTTTTAATGAAATATTTTTATTATAGAATTGTTTGTGAAAATAGGGTGTTTTGTTACCAGTCCAAGTGCGAAGTGATTTTCATGTTATAACTTAAAAAACATTCATCACAAAAATCTTAAATATAATTTGTGTAATCTCTAAAACCTCCTAAATACATTTCAAACGTTTATTTTCAGTAAAACTTTATTTTTTTTTGTCATTTTTTCTACCCTAACTCTATGGGATCTGTCAATTTAACCGACCTCGTAACCACCACAAAAATTAGGAAATAAATTTAAATTATGCTTTTTTCATTCTAGAATGACTACAGATTATAGCATGAAAACACAAATGTTTAGTCTAAGTAGCTTAAATCTCATAACATTATCCATTTATATATATCTATTATTTTCCAGCCATGTCTGGCTAACAATATAGAAGTTACAATGACACAACGCATGTGCACTCGTGATACCATATCCAATAATATAAAACTTACCTTTACTCTTTACAAAATGACCTGTCTTGGCTGTGTTTTAGTGGACTAGTATTTTGTAAAATACAGTGATATTTCAATTATTACACATTATATATGTATATACATTAATACTATTTACAAATAAGTTCTTAAACTTATATTTCTTAAAACATAGAACAGTATATAAAAAGTAAATCAAACAATTATCTCTTTTAGTTATGATCTTTGTACTCGTTTGCTGCTTCTCATAGGTTGCTAAGCCTTATGAAATTTCCCACATGGAGGAAAGTTAAAAGAAAATTTTTTTTTAGGTTTTATATATAGATTTTAAATAAGCAAAAAAATCATAAATTACTATATCAATACCATAGAATTCCACTATGATTCATCAAAAATAGTAACTACACTGTATTTGTGTTTAAAAAAATATGAAATTTCAAGCTCACTAAAGACTTACTGTATCTCCTTGAAATATTGTATGAAAAGAATGAGATTAACACAATTACACATTAAAATGGCTGAGAAAACCTCTATGTGGACATTCTGAGCTTTTAATTGGTTATTCACATGTCATATGTAGAAGTAAGTGTATATAAGGGACTGTTTCCAAATATGGAAAGAGGTAGGCAGAGTGCCACTGTGTTTGATTCAGTACATAGTTTGTTAGGAATTAGGAACTCAAATTACCAATACTGACAAGATAGAATCTAAAATAAGAACCTCCTATCTTTTCTATTTTTTGAGATATTGCTACATTTACTGAATCATACAAAGTGGCCCTACCCCCCTCTTTCCATTTTTGGAAATGCTTACGCACACCTACTTCTACCTATGACATGTGAATAACCAATTGAAAGCTCAGAATGTTCCCCATGTGATTCTTTGCAAAGTAATTATGTGGGAAACCATTTCTTTCCATGGTAGCTTTCAAGCAATAAGGTAAGACTTCAGTGAGCTCGTAATTTCATATTATTTTAGACCCAAATATAGCTTAATTACTATGCTTGATAAATTATAGTGGAATTCTATGGTACTGATATAGTAATTTAGGATTTTTTGTTATTTCAAAATGTATATATAAAACCTAAAAAAATTATTTTGTTTCACATCTTGTATGTGCAAAAATTGATATAGCTTAGCAACCTATGGCAAGCAGCAAACAAGTACAAAGTTCGTTACTAGAAGAGATAATTGTTTGCTTTACTTCTTTATTTACTGTTCTATGTTTTAAGAAAATAAGTTGCTACACAAAATCATGATTTTAATATTTATTTGTCCACAGTGTTATCATAGTAACCAAGATTTATCTAAACAACTTGCATAAACCTCATATCTCATGGTCATATTTATGTATCATGAGGAAGCTGAATATACTTTATGAATTAAATTAATAAGCTGATGTATCTGTGTGATGGCAAGTTTGTTGCCAGAGTACCAGTCTATGTGGCTAATGTGTGCTTAATATTTAATGTTACTTTATGCAAACAATGGTTGTATTAAATCGCATCTATTCTTCATAACTCAATTGAGGATATGAAAAAACAATATTCTTGACATACCATTTTCTACATCAGAAATTTCCAAGTGAAGACTGGAGATTAATATTCCAACATTCTGAGATCTCTTCTGATCTAATAACTTTGCTACCTGTAAAACAAAAAAATATCAAGACAGATGAGCTTCCAAATATTATATTTTTCTAAACAACATCAAGACAGATGAGCTTCACAATATTATATTTTTCTAAACAATATCAAGACAAAGGAGCTAGAAAATATCAAAAAGTAGTGTTTTTCTAAACAACATCAAGAGAGGAACTTCAAAATACCAAAAAGTAATGCATTTTTATAAATAATAAACAATATCAAGACAGAGACTTTAAACTCCAAAACGTAATGTGTTTTTTTACACAATATCAAGATAAAAAGGCTACAAAATATTAAAAAGTAGTGTTTTTCTAAACATTATCAAAACAGAGACTTTAAAATCCAAAAAGTAATGTGTTTCTAAACAATATCAAGACATAGGGACTTCAAAATATAAAAAAAAAAGTTTCTCAAACCAATATCAAGTGTTTCTCTAAACAATATCAAAACAGAGGAGCATCAAAATACAAAAAAATTAATGTTTTTTTAATTTCACATGTTTATTTTGAAAGAAAATACATATACTATCATAAATTTTTTTCTTTTCTATTAAATATAAATTAGATATTTTATACATTTAATTGATATATTAAACTACAAAGAAATCTGTTACACAAAAACCATACTATAAAAACATCAGTCAACTATAGGTTAGAAAGAAAGCTGTTACATGAAAACAATGTCCTCAGTATATCAGTTAACTGTTCAAGCAATAAAAGTAACTGTTACATGAAAAAACTACACCTTTATTATATCAGTTAACTATACAGGTTGGAAAGTAATCAGTTTCATGGAAATCACATAACTCCAGAACAGCAGTCAACTGTTCGTGTCAGAAAATCAGTTGACTGTATAAATTTGAAAGAAATCAGTTTCATAAAACCACACAACTTCAGAGCACCAGAAACCTGTTAAGATTAGAAAGATATCACTTACATAAAAACCACACCGACTTCAGAAAACAAGGCAACTTTACAGATTAGACAGATGTCATTCACATGACAATAAGAGCCAAACATCAGGCAAGTATTCAAGTTACATACTTACTAGTTAGGTTATCATTTCTGTAACAGAAACATACCATGAAGTATGAACATGAAAACAAGTAGAGTAGAATCTGCTTCACCTCTGAAATAGCTGCTCATGTAAACAAGGAAAGCAGATTTTGCTCAGTAAAATACAGCATCACAACCAGGTCTAGTTAAGTTGACTTCACTCAGTCAACTTATATCACCATCATTAGGTCAAGTTAAGTCCCCTTCACTCAATCAAAATACACTTCACCACCAGATCCAGTTAAATCGACTTCGCTCAGTCAAAATACACCACATCTGGTCAACTCTGACCCTTAAGGGTTTTGTTTTTCATTAAATCTTTATGAACTTTATCATTATTTTGATAATTAATTTAATGTGCACATAAAAAGCTGTTTATATTAATTTAAGTAACTATTAATATTACAATAATTTGGTAATTAAATAAAACTACAGTGTACTAACATCAATCACTGTATGCAAATGATCCTCCTAGTATTAGAGCAATATATATATAATATTATGAGCTGCAATCTGACTTTAGCATCATATTTCAAGTCTGAATAATTCTTTTAAAATATGTATAACTAACCTGCTTGGACTTGGCTTTTAAATTTTTAGTTTTTGTTGAAGTTTTCTTTTCTCTAACTTGCCGAGAAAAAAGGCCTGTAAACTCATCCCAGTTCTCAGGACCAATCTCTTCCAAAATTTCCCAAAAACAAGATTTCTGGTTTCTTAAAAATACAAAAACAAAGAGAGCAATAAATCTTTTACAATTCAACACATAAAGGTTTACTGTTATTATCTGAGCTAGAATACATAACACTACAATGTAGAAAGATTTTCAATACAAAGATGGAGATTACATAAAAATCTTAGTATGACACGTGAAAAGTAAGAGAGTAATTATGTTGATTACAGAAAATTTCTCTAGTAATATTAAAGAGACTGAATAAAGATAAATATTTGAAGTTAATTATAGTTCAAATTACCAATTATGTAATTTTTACTTATATGAAAGACACAATTCTGAGGAACAATTGAAATCACTTTATTTATTTCAAGCAAATCTTTTCAATTATTAAACCTTATTGTCTTCAAAACAATCTCATGAAAGATTGATCATAAGCCCAAAGCTTTGAAAACAATCATATCATACAAGTGAAAAACCCAATGAAGGGAACAAACTGTCAGAAAACTAGAAATTAGAGAAAATAGTTTTGATACATTTGTGAATCCTCTTCAGTCTCATGTTGTCTTCTGACAAGAAAGCTGATCAACAACCTATGTAACTGCAGAACTTGAACTCCCTTAACCCTTTCCAGATGGGTCATGGGTCAAAGGACATGTCATTGCGTTTGTTGACTCACATTCAAAATTTTATTGAACTACTATTTCATGAATTTATGTCAGTAAGTCTGGTATCAAACTGTAGATTATAATTCAAACTTTAAAACTATGTTACTCAATTTGTTAATTTAAAAGTGAATATAAAAAAAAACAGAAACATTGATTTATATGTGTCACGTGCTATGTTGAATGCAGTACTAGTTCAAATTAGATGTTTGTGAAGTCAAATTACTAAGTCTATAGTTTCATACGAATTAGAAACACAAATTACAGACATTGACAAGCTAGAATACAAAATTAGAAGTTCTTATCTTTTCTATTTGCTAAGATATTGCTCACGTAATAAATCAAACATAGTGGCACCCTGCTCACCTCCTTTGATTTTTAGAAACACTCCTTTATATAAACACTTACTTCTTTATATGACATGAATAACCAATCAGAAGCTCAGAATGTCCTCTAGTGGTTTTCTAAGCCTTTGTAACATACCTAGCATCATTTCTTTCTTTTAAATCAAGATTTCAATGAGGTAGATTGTGTCTTTAGTCTGCTCAAAATTTCATATTTTATTTAGAGTAAAATATATCTTAGTTACTAAGCTTGATAAATTATAGTTGAAATATATGGTATTTATGTAGTAATTTATGATTTTTTAGTTATTCAAATGTATATATGAGACCAGATGGGTATATATATTTCCAAATGGGTCACGGGTCAAAGGACATGTCATCTCGTTTGTTGACTCGCATTCAAAATTTTATTGAACTACCATTTCATAAATTTATGTCAATAACTTTGGTATCAAACTGTAGATTATAATTCAAGTTAAAGTACTATTTATTACTCAATTTCTTAATTTAAAAGCAAATATGAAAAACAGATAAACATTGATTTTTGTGTGTCACGTGGTATGTTGAATGCAGCACTGGTTGAAATTAGATGTTTGTCATGTCAAAATACTAAGTCTATAGTTTCGTACGAATTAGAAACTCATATTAACAATATTGACAAACTAGAATATAAAATAAGGCCTAAAAATATATATATATATATATATAAAACCTACAAAAAATTATTTCATTTCATATCCTCAACATGCGAAATTTTAAAAGGCTTAGCAACCTTCGTCAAGCAGCAAACGAGTACAAAGGTCTTAATTAGAAGAGATAATTGTTTACTTTTTACTTTTTTATTTACTGTTCTATGTTTTAAGAAAAATTAGTTTAAGAACTTATTTCTAAATAGCAATAATCTATATACATATAT